TCGCGCTTATATGTGTGTACGTTCCCATCCACGTCGGTCTTCTTTTGAAGATCCATTTGCACCCTACGGTCTTACGTTCGGGCACATAATCAACCAAATTCCAAACTTGGTTATCGTACATGGATTGGATCTCGCTATCCATCGCCTCTTTCCATTTCGCAGACTCCGGGCCTGCCATGGCTTCCTTATAGCTATTAGGTTCATCAAGATTTACTAGTGTACCATCACTAATATACGTGTCCCCTTCGGTAGTAATATGAAAACCATAAAACTGGGGATGAACTCTAACTCTATCGGAACGTCTAAGAGGTAAGGATTCGTCAATCGGTTCAACCGGAGTTTCCTCCTCGGGTTGAATGCCAGCGGTAGAGGTTCCTTCATCTATCGACTCTTGAATCTCTTCAAGTTCGATTTGCCTCCCACTGTCTCCTTGGCTTATGAGTTCTCGCTCTCGGAAAACTCCTCTCCTCGCAACAAAAACAACATTGTCTTTCGGTCTATAGAAGAGATATCCAAAGGAAGTTTGCGGGTAGCCGATGAAAATACATCGCTCACTTCGAGGTTCAAGCTTGTCGTGAGTATCTCGTCTTACGAAAGCCTCGCAACCCCAAACCTTGATATGTGCCAACGAGGGAGCTTTCCCTGTCCACATCTCGTGAGGTGTTTTGGCAACCTTCTTAGTTGGGACTCGGTTAAGGATATGGGCAGCAGTCTCTAAGGCATACCCCCAAAAGAAGATAGGTAGTGAAGCACGACTCATCATAGAGCGAACCATATCCAATAAGGTTCGATTACGCCTTTCTGCCACACCATTCAACTGCGGTGTCCTAGGAGGCGTCAATTGCGAAACTATTCCACACTCCTTGAGATAATCGTGGAATTCAAGACTTAGGTACTCTCCTCCTCGATCGGATCGAAGCATCTTGATTTTCCTGCCCAATTGATTCTCCACTTCATTCTTGAACTCTTTGAACTTTTCAAAAGTTCTGACTTTTGCTTGATTAAGTAGATATACCCATATCTACTATAGTCATCGGTAAAAGTCACATAGAAGCGGTTCCCATCCTTCGTGGTTGATCTAAAGGGTCCACATACATCGGTATGTATTAGGTCCAATAGCCCCTCACCCCTTTCACAAGTACTCGTGAAGGGTGACTTAGTCATCTTTCCAAGTAAACAAGACTCGCATGTGTCATCTTCCCTAAGGTCGAATGACTCCAACACTCCATCCTTTTGGAGTTGGGCTATGCGTTTCTTGTTGACATGTCCAAGACGACAATGCCACAAGGATGCTTTATCCATACTAGTGGAAGAATCAATATTCAAAACATCATTTCCTAAGTTATCAACAATCATAACAGTTTCATATATTCCATTACATGGTATAGCTTCAAAGTAAAAGACACCATTTAGATAAGCCAAAATAGAACCATTCTCATTATTAAAAGAAAATCTAAATCCTTGTCTATATAAACCATGAAATGAAATGATGTTTCTAGCCATTTCTGGCGAATAGCAACAATTGTTCAAATCTAAAACTAAACTATTCCTAAGCACTAAAGAATACACTCCAATCTTGGTCACAGGCGACGATCTTCTGTTCCCCATGATTAGATTGATCCTTCCTTGCTCCACATCCCTACTTCTTTTAGTCCCTGCACATTAGAACAAATGTGATAACCGCAACCGGTATCAAGAACCCAAGAAATAGCATGATTAGAATCGTTAGATTTGATTGTGTATATACCTGCGAAAGATGGCTTGATCTTTCCTTCCTTGATGGCTTGCAGGTAATCCGGGCAGCTTCTCTTCCAATGTCCTATCTTGTGGCAGTGGTGGCACTCTGCCTCCTTGGGTTGGAACAGGGCTTAGAGGGATCAACTTTGGTCCCACTAGAAGAGGAACCATCTCGGGCTTTCACCTTCGATAGTTATTCGATGAAGCTTTCCTCTTCTTTCCCTTCCCTTGACCAATAGCCAAGACAGGAGCAGCGGATGGATTGGGAGTTGGTGCAACAGACTTGTCCTTGAATTGCTCTCAGCAACCCTCAAGAGACCTTGGAGTTTGCTTAGGGTGACCTCCTCTTTGTTCATGTGGTAGGTCATCCTAAATTGGTTGTACATCGGAGGCAAAGAGTGAAGCACCATGTCGATCGCCAAGTCTTCGCCGAAGTCAACATTTAACTTGCGAAGGCGTCGATACCTTTGCATCTTTTGCAGGTGCACGGTAAGAGATTCTCCATGACCCATCTTAGCGGAGATCATGTTAGTGAAAATCTCGTAACGCTCTTGTCTCGCGTTTTGGTGGTATCTCTCCAACAAGTCTTGATGCATCTCGTATGGATACATGTCCTCGTAGGACTTTTGGAATTCGGAGTTCATGGTGGCGATCATGATGCAATGTACTTTCGTTGCATCTCGCTCATGAGTTTCAAAGGCGGTGATTTCGGCGGGAGTAGCAACTTCGGGGTTGATTTTCTCGAGCTTCTCATCGAGGACATACTCTTTATCCTCATAGCGAGCAATGGTGCGAATGTATCTTATCCATTCGCTAAAGTTCGTTCCATCGAAGGTGACCTTTTGGCAAAGGCTCATCAACGTGAAAGAACTAGCAGCAGCGTTGTTTGCGTTTGACATCTATAGAAAGGACAAAGATAGATTAGAACAAGAATCCCTAATTATCACCCAATAAGAAAAATTAGGGCTAGGATCCAACAATAACATTTACATACTAGAAAAGGGATGCCGTAATCTAACATGCAAATAAATTGAAGGTAAGTGAATGACGATTCACTAATTCTCCATTACAAAACTTAAACTATTAGTCCTAAGTGTTTTTGAGAATTCCTAGGTTCGGATGAGATTCATTGAACTATTCAATGGCATGTTTAATCTCGATATGCCCTCTTGTTTGTGACTGGGATGCCGAGGATCACAAAGCGGGTGTGAATTACCATGCAAATTCACATGGTGCCTTCATTGTAACGATCACCTATTCGATGTGCCGGTAAACCACACACGCTCCATCGAACTATGATAAACAATGAATCACCCTTTGCCACCTTCGCTTAGAACCAATTAGTGTGCCGGTAAACCACACACGCTCCACTAACTTCTTAGCAAGGTGCAAAGTGTAATTTCATGGGATTGCATCAATTCACTTTTCCTAAAGTAACTAAGATTGGGAAATTTTTTAAAACGTGTAGTTACTTTGTTTCTTATTATACTTTTAATGAGAGGATGAGGTTGCCCTATCCTACCCGTTCGGCTAACGACCCTCCACCAATCAAGCAAGCGGTGGGTGTGAGTGTACACCCATTAAGCGCCATTTTATAGGCCGCAACCTTATACCCACCTTATAGATCGGCTTCGTGAATGAGGCCTACTACGGTAAGACTAGCATTTAGTTATACATATATATATTATTCTAGTAATATCATATAGTATAGGGTTGTATTTTAAAACCTTTTAAAATCTAGGGTTTGAAATTTAAGTTGTCTAAATTAAAACTTTTAATCACAAATATAAATTTCAAAACTTAGGGTAGGTTTTAAACATTTAAAACATGGAGGATCAAATAACAAATAATTCCAATTAACAATTAATATCCTAATTATCTTTATTTGATTTATCTAAGATTTCTTTCAAGATAATTATCAAAATAATTAATCATTATCATATAAGGAAATTAAATATTTTATTAGATGATAAATATCTTTAATTAGATCAAGATAATAGTCATATTTATCAAAAAAAAAAAAATAAAAAAAAAATGGATTTAGAATCCGAATCTAGCCATTCCTGACGCCTGGACTCGCCGAGTACACAAGGGACTCGCCGAGTCAGGCCTACTCGCCGAGTCCACCTTGGAACTCGCCGAGTCAGTGACTCATAAACCCAAAAATCGAATTTTGCAGGTTTGTTTCAGTTAATCAAGCAACAATTTAAAGAAAACCAAGCTAGGCTCTGATACCACTGATGGGTTTAGCCATAAGAACTTTCCTATGTGCGCATGCAAAACCCTTGCTCGGATCTAGGCTTTCTAATTAAACATGCTTTGAATCCAAGACTTCTAATAGCTAATTAGGTTAAATAACAATGATGAAACAGATCTAGAATCATACCTTTGAGTTCCTTGTTGATCTTGTTGTCTTGGAGCTTCTAGAGTCACAAATGTCACTCCTCTAATGGCTTACAAACACCAATAGCAAGCAAGATGATTTAGGAGAGAGGAGAGGGGAGGAATTCGGCCAGAGGTTCCTTGCTTTAGTTGTGTGTCGAATTCCCTCACCCCTAGGGTCTATTTATACTTGTAGACTCCTTAAGGGTTACAACCTAACCCTAATTGGATAATCTTCTCTTAAGGCTATCCAAATCCATTCCATAGATAACCCTATGGACGATTTTGGCTTATCCAAGCCTAGAAATCGTCCATCCTATCTAGGATAAGGATTTACAGTCTAAAGTGTAACTATCAAACAATTGACAGTTTATACCCTCTTATTTAATTAATCTCTTTAAGTCACCAAATTAATACCAATTAATTTATGACTTATAT